CTGAGGAACTAACCACGCCTACTTTTTAATCTAAATATATCATCTATAAAGAAAGAAAATTGTGTTAGTTACTACGCTTATAACTTAAGAACCGCTGGACTGATTTTAACGGTTCATACAAACTCGGAATTGTCTCCTGGCCGAAAATGATAAAATCCAAAAAAATGGCGTAAAAATGTGATATATTAACATTTTCATTTTGACTTTTGAAATGTACAATAGTAATGTTTTTCTTTTGTATGATTTTTTTTTCATTTTGACTTACTTTTTCTAATGTACATTTGTAGTGTTTTTTATATTTTTTATTTTTGAATTCGAATATTAAAACCAATTTATTTAATTGACTTTATTTCTTGAGAACAGAAATTGAAGGCGGGTTACATGGAATTGTAGTACCGAATTATGTGGTGGCGAAACGGAATAGATTATATCGAAATAATTTAACGCGGTCACACCAAAGTTAAAAGTTAATTACTTTTTCAAAATCGCTAAAAAGTCACGAAAAAAGAGATCTCATTGCAAAAATCCACAAATAGGGAAAAAATCGAAAAAAAAAAAACATTTCTATGGAATCGAATTTTATAATAATAATACATTCTATTTTCAAACTTTGTAAGGATCTTTAAACATTTGCTGTAAAAAAACAGCGAACAAGTTGAATTTGATTTTTTTTTCAATTTGTTATTCTTCTTTTGTGATTTTTTTTAATTTGTTTTATTATATTGAATTCAGTGGATTTTTATGAACAAACATAAAGAATACTTTTTCACTATATACAATTTTTCACCAAAAAAAAATGAAATAAGTGCGAAATACGATGTTAAGTGACATCTACCTTTCAACTCCAGGGCCTACATCGTGCTTCAGCTGGAAGATGCACACACATTTAAACAAACAAAGACCGAAAAAGACTAATGGGGCTCATTTCAAAGCGTGGATCTACTTCTTTCATTTGACAATAATCCGTCCAATGAGAGCTGAAAATGCAAAATTTTTTGGGAGTACAATCAGTAAAATACCAAATATAAAGGGTGCAAAATAGTAGAGCGAATGGGACTTTTAGTAAGAAAAGCATTTCTATCCTTCCAGAAATTCTTCCCGAACATTCAAGATACCTTAAATCGCTTTTGCAGGTCATAATATCGATCATATATTCTTAAATCATTCAGCCCTCAATTATGAGGTGTACTAAATACGGTAAATTCCAAATTACTGCTCATTTTACTAAAAATAAAAAAAAAATAATCGACCAGTACGTGAACACTTATAACAGTCATATCTGTGAATTATTATGCTTTGACAAATATGCATAATAGACAAAAACTACGGGCCGGCAAAGCGGACCGGGCCAGCTAGTATTACATAAAGCTTAAGAACTTAAGCCTTAAAGTTGAGAAAATCTTGAGAAAACACTAAACAATATTATATTAATTTTATTTTTGAAATGGTACAAAATATTTTGTTGTTGCAAAATGGTCAGGCTTAATCCCTTTATTGTTGTTTTTATAAATGGTAATATTTACCAGGGGGTAAGGCTGGGAATACCTAGGTTTCGGAAAGAGCCATCAATCCTCATCAGATTCCTTGTTTTTTTGTCTGGGATATTCTCCCCAGAAGTTATTTTAAAAATAACTTCTATGACAAAAAACATTTTTTACCCAAGTGACGAGATCGTATGCTCAATAGAAGAGGAACCAAATTCTTTTGGAAAGTCTTCTAAATCTTACAACCGCAAGTTGGTTTTGTTTGTTACAACAAAAACCCCTTCGTCGACTGTGCCTTGTCTATTAATAGAACAGTGTTGGCTTGTTTGTTCGGGATACCATAGTATTTTGTTGCAAAATTGTCAGGCTTAATCCCTTTATTGTTGTTGTTTTTATAAAAACAACGTTTGTTTATTAGTGGAGAACGATGGTAATGTTTACCAGGGGGTAAAAATGGTAAAAAAAATTTACTTTTTAATTATTTTACACATTTCATTCTTGATGGCCATCCCAGTTGTTACTGCCTCCCGTTGCCTGGATACCTAGACGCTTTCTTTTCCCCTCATTTGAGCTTCTGCATCTCCTCCACTAATACAACACTACTATTGAATTCTTGCAACTTTTTTTACGCCTCCATTCTGAAATGAGAAAAAAACGTTGTTTGTCTTACAGTACGTTTACATATAAATGGGTTAACCCACTGGATTTGGATTAAAATTGTCATATCCATTACTTATACTTCAAATAAATCCTCTTGAAGTAGGTTAACCCTGCAAAAAGTTCTAACGTCAACATGCCATTATATAGCTCCCTTCTTTCCCATGAAAGTTATCGTTGCTTTCCCTTTACCCTCCATATATTTCATATATTTTGATCATTTTTTATCATTTCGTTTTGATTATCGAAAAACAATCTCCGATACTCGTTTTTTAAAGATTTCTCCATTTTTGTAGAATACCTATAACCATTGACAACATATATCTATTCGTTTGTACTATATTTAATATTTTGTTTAGTACTTTTCGTACATTTATAGAACGAATTCGTACAAGTTCAGCTTAGAAAACAATTCTGAATTTTCCTTCTACCTCTTTACTACATTATAAAACAATTGTACTCCTCGCGCTCTTCATACAATTACATACTGTATTTTAGATTTTTAATGTTCCTCACAACGAACTGCAGAATTCAATCGTAACATATTGAGTACACTACAGTGCTATTCGTTTCTTCAAACCCTCAGTTTTGATAATTCTCAAAAATTAATTTGTTTGGATTGAGGTGCTTTTTTAATAATTAATGGATACACTTGTGATTTTTTAATTCTCCGATGAAGGTACTATACGTAAAAGCGTTACATTTATTTTTTACCACAGCTGTCAGTTGTACATTTAGCACAGACGCAAGCAAACCTTTGGAAATCAGAACGGGTCGAGCTGCTTTACTTGTCCATGTTGAGCAACAAGGCAAAGAAACTATACGCGTTGTTCATCGTCTGAAAACGAAATTGTATAGACTAGATGTTGTTGCTAGGGTTTCTGTTTTGACCTACCTTCGTGAATACGGGCAAACCAACATTGAAGAATTTGCCCGCCCTGAAAACGACTGGTCGATTCAAATATTGCATGTAGAGCAGTATCAGGCGTCTATCGCCCGTTGACATTTCCATCCAGTTGCAATTGTAGGCACAGTCCATGAGGCGCAAGGATTCCACGGTCAGTTTGTTGGCATAGTAGCAGGGTAGAAAGATCTGCATTGTCATGCATAAGGCGTACTGGACAAGAGATATGAAGTTCCCGGGGTCGTCCAGGAAGCTGACATTCTGCAGCCGATAAAGACTGAAGCACAGAATTAATACACTGAGCAGAATTTGGGCCAGTATCGGGTAGGAGACTATGCGTTCGCATTGCTTCGACATGCTGTAAAGCGGAAGAGGAGAGGGAGGTATGTTAAATTTCAGGAAAGATATGTAACGAACGAGCCGGTTGGGTTACCTTTTCACTTTCTGCTCGAACTGTACAATTCGAACTATGGCCTGCGTAACGTTGGTGGATGGTTTATTATTTAGTTGATGCAAGCGCATGCCAATAAGCCGATAGCAAATGGCCAAGTGCAGCATGATGTAGCACTGCCACATGTCCAGAGTACAGTTCGAAATGCACGTCAGTGGCATGGCCAAGACCTCATAGAAATAGGCAAACCAGTAGTAAATCGGTTGGTTCCAGTTGAACGGTGTCCAATAGGGAAAAGGCAGCTTGTAGCCGTTAAGAAACAATACAACAACAAATTCACAGCCCACGAAACTAAAGCTGCATCCAATGTAGAGAAAGGACACTATTCTGAATGAGCTGACTGAGTGTTTCCACATCCATATCTCCTGGGGGCTTTGCAGTTGGAATTGCTCACCACTCGTCAAACATACGTCTGGCCATTTTTCTGTGGTACAACAGACTTAAAATCTTCACCACCAGCGCAGTCTCGGTCAGAGCTATGTAGAGGACATCAGTAGCCTGTGTTAGGTCAACACTGCCGTACACATCCATCCACATAAGAATCGTGTAGGAGAATGTCAAGGGCACATGGACGAGTAGAGAGACGACAATGGCTGGCAAGCCGCGTTCTTCACCCTCTGTCCACAAGGCCACAGAGGAGAGAATTCTTCGCAGAGCTCTTGAGTTTTGCAAAGTATCGAACGACATAGTGGAGAAGTCACTGCAATTGATTGGAAATTCTACGGCTTATATACTCTCCCGTGCCATTCGCATATGTGGTCGGTATGTTCAGTTTAGCACATATCTTTGAAAAAATTATGCGCCTAAAAGCGTGCAATAATAACTAAATAAACTAGATTTGTTCGGACCAAAACAAGTGTTGATCCATGCAATGGCTCGAATGAAACCGTATATGCATGCCGTAACTACATCAACAATGTAGCGAAAGTTCTTGTTTGAAATAATTCAATATTTTTTGTCAATAAATTAGAAATTTAATTGTTAGTCGTTTTATTTTCCAGACGGAACAGTAAAGCTGAAGAATGGAATGTGTATATACAATTTTTACAGACCAGTAGCATAAAAACAATCTTTAGAATTCTGATGGCTTTTCTGAGCTTGGCTTCAATTTTCGTCCAGATTAATAAGTTAATTTCTTTAACTATTTATTTATTGCTTACTGGAAATATGACAATAAAAATAAGGAGGGAGGGCGAGTAACATGGAAGTATTGGTTAGTCTTGAAAATGTCCAAATTCATCAGAATACATAACCGTTATTCTGGTGCTGCACACGTATAAGAAGGGAGCATACGAAGTGAAAATGACATAGAACTGGTCGCCAGAACTTAAAAGACTATTGTTTAATTATACTTTATGAGAACAACAGTAGCAATAATTAAAAAGCCATCATGCTGTGATTTGAGCACTGGCTGGCTGGCTGGCAGGTTTACATAATAATAAGTGGTCTCCTGCAAGTCCTTAAAACGCCCCTCCAATCTACCAATTACGTTACCCAACCATCATTTTAATTTGTGTATTTTAGTTTTTATTTTTTATTAATCAAAATAAATTTTATAACAAACTTTTTACAAGACAAGTGCACCGCGGATTGTCCGCGCCCACTCGCATAACGTGGCATATCGAAAACGTACAAAGGACAATTTAGGGATTCATATTTCGTACCTAATTTAAGCGACTTAACGTAATAAAATATTCAAACATTTAGTTCGGAAAGGCGGAGAATCGAGCACTGGCCACAGACATCACCATGGATCATTGGCACACTCGAGACGTGAGTGGTGGCTTAATAGAGGCAAGGGAGGGGATGGGCGTGACGGAGGTGGAGGCATAATTAATAATATAAAAATACATACATACATACATACAAAGTAAGAGTAAAAGTATTTAAGACAGGCATGAGCATTTAGTAGTGGTTTTGGGTGCTCAGGGTGAGCGTGAGATTATTTACAATAGGGTGCCATGCTTTCGCAGGGGCCTTCTCTGGCCCAGGAGACCCAGACCGCGTGGCTGCTGTTTTGTTGTGGTTTCTGGTTCTGCGGGAGCCTCTTCTTTCTGCTCCTCATTGGCATCGGCAGCAGCATGTTCCTCATTGGAGTCGCCATCTTCCGACGATGCAGCATCATCTTCAGCTGTTGCTTCTACAAAAAGAGTGGACCGGGGTGGGGATATGGCGTCAATGTCAATAAATTTGAATGAAATGGTTCGGAATTTACCTGTCGTTGTTGTGCTTAGCACACGCTTCTTGGCAAGCAATGGATTGACTTTGCGTGGTGGAGCAGGAGCTGCCTTTGGCTTGAGAGCATCAGTCTTGGGGTGGGCACCACCTATGCGTGCTGGGCTCCTCTTCGGCCATGGTGGTCATCATCTCTTCGCCTTACATATCTGTGGTGTCGGGCATTGTTGTGGTCACATGCATGTCCATGTCGGAGTCTGTGGTCATTTCCATGTTGTTGTTCTCATTGGCCAAAATGGCGTACAGATCGAATGCTGCCTTCTCCATGGCGGGGGTGGTTTGTTCGATGTCCTCGTTGTCGCCCATCATAGCCTCGTCATCTTCGGATTTCGTCTTGGCAGACTCGGCTTCTTCAGCATCCTTTGTAGCTTGAGCTGCGGCCATTTCCTGTTCGATGGCAATGGCGATCTTGGTGTCGTCCGCGTTGCGAGAGTCCTTGGCTTGTTTCTCGTCCGTGTTGAAGGTTTCAGTGTCCACCAATTCTAGGCTGGGACGTTTGACGCTGATTTTCTTCTTCTCGGCAGCAGAGTCAACTGAGTCGATGGCGGGTGTTGGGGCCACATCAGCAGCCTTGCCACGGCTGGGGAAGCGGGTGTTGTGTGGCAGACGTTCGGTCTCGATGCTCTCCTCGACATTGGATGAGCGACCCTTGGCCTTGCCGGACACCAGGCTGTTGTCACTGGGGGTGGCGGCGGTGCTACGTTCAATGTTGGTGTAGCGTGACTTGCCTCGTGATTCAGCCTCCTCCTCCCCCTTGTCCTTCTCCTGACCGTTGGGACCCTTTTTGATTTCGATTCGCTACTTTTAGTAATTTTCCGAACCGGCAATCGCTTGGTCGACGAAACCGACATTGATCTCATCGTCTGTGTCGAGTGCAGCCTTCTTGCTGGGCGCCATTGCTTTCAGAACGGCCAGAGGCACTTCGGTACTTTGCTCGGCTTCAGCCTTCATTTTGGCCTCTTGGGCACCTATTTCGGACTTGACAATCTCCAGTTCGGCTTCTTCAATAGCCCTCTTGGCCTCAATGCTCTTCATGACATCCTCATTGATGAGGGCACTCAGAACGGGATTCAGTTCGGGCTTCTCTTTGGAGTTGTCGGCCAGGCATGCCGTTGCCAATAGGCATATGAAAAATCTCAGAATTTAGTTAGAAACATTTAAAAATCATTGTGTCGGTCGATAAATGTTAATTCGGCCAATGGTCTCTCCAAGGTCGGCCAGTAGGTCCATCTGACACGAACTTAGTTCGCAGTCAAAAGACATAATTGTGATTTAAATTCAAAGGAATACTAGTCACAATTTGTGTAAAAACATTAAGTTTCCTGTCAAGTTGTTGTCAATAGTAGTCTTCTTGGCCGATCCAAGGCCAGTAAGCCCATCTGACAACTAAGACTGTTGTCAAAATGGAGAATATTGATTTGAAATTTAAAGACAATCAAAAAAACAATAGAGTTAAATTTACTAAGTCTACTACCCAACTGTTCGTTGATTGCTAATAGAAATTCTGTTGAAATCTGGCCCGATTTATATATATTTACCTCATATATAATTATCCAATTTTACGTTTATTATGCACTAAATATGTATATTGATCGAGCTATGTGAAGATAGCTATAATATATAACAGAGTCGATTTGATTATAAAACAATTGTACTCCTTGCGCTCTTCATACAATTACATGCTAGCAAGTGCCCTCTACTTCGTATGCGGAATAAGGTATTCATATTAACTGAATTTGTGTTAAGGTAATTTCTTACCCCAAATAGAATGCATTAAATAAATGACCACAATTTATTAATAACAAGTTATAAATTGGATGCCTCCTCCCAACTATCCCGAATATAACAAAATCACCTCCTTAAATCAACACTATTTTTCAGACTTGATTCTCATATCAAATTTCAAGGTTCTTTCTCTATCCGTTTATATAATTCTAAACAGTGTTGCCAACATTTTGAGAGCTAAAAGCGTAATTAAAAACCAGAAAAGCGTAAATGGCGTGAAAACTTTCCTTAAAATAGCGTAAAAAGCGCTATGTATTTTTTCTAACCAAAACGGCAAAATTGTCAATAAATCACTATTTTTAACTAAATGCTGTTTTATTCAAAAATTGAGATCGTATATTATATAAATATTTCATGCATATAAGTGCATACATATTTTTAAAAAATATGATATATTAGGAAGTTTTAACATGTGGTTAAAACTTAATATTATACATTTTTACAAACAAATATGTTCACCCATAAAACCCATAGCTTCAAATGCCGTTGAAGTTCTATAAACTCGTACAACAAAGCAGCTATGTATGAACTCACCTTTTTTATACCTTCCACCATACTATGGATGGTATATTAACTTTGTCATTCCGTTTGTAACTCCTCGAAGTACTCATGTCAGACCCAAAAAAGTATATATATCGTTGATCAGCGTAAAATTCTAAGTCAAATTAGCGATGTCCGTCTGTCTGTTGTAATCTTTCGAACGAAGTGAGATAGAAGGCTAAAATTTTGCACACATGTTTATTTTTTCAGTAGGCAGGTTAAGTTCGTAAATGGGCCATGTAGGTCCACGTCTTCATATAACGGTACCTCCCGAATATTCGGTATTTTGATGATTTTAGCGACATTATTAACCGGAATTGTTTCAAATTACGTATTAGAATTATAATTCGTAATGGGATCTACAGTATGTGACAGAAAATTGTCTATGCAGTTCCAGGTCTTCGCACAGCTCCGATATAACGGAACCTCCCTATAACGATATTTTGACGATTTTAGCTACTTTGAATATGATAATGGCTTATGACAAACAATGCCTATGTAGGTCCACGTCGTATAGACCCCAGTAAAACGGCTATATTCGGTATTTATAAAATTTATACAGAATTTATTAAGGATTTTATTTTTTGAAAATTTCCAAATTCGTTCCAAATGGTGGAGGGTATTCTAAGTTCGACCCGGTCGAACTTACTGCTTTTTAACTTGTTTCTCGTTCATTTCACTTTTCCTTCAATTGGTTTATAACATGGTACAATGAAGAGAAGGTAGGTCAACTTTGAAAAAATTGCAAGTATGGAGGTCTACCTGTTTGGCTTGTAATGTCAGAATTACTATGAAAACAATAAAAAAATCAAACAACTTGTTGCATTTACTTTGAATAAATAATTGAAAACCGCGAAAACTGAATGAAAAGTCAGCACTTCTTTTCAAAACCAGGTTCTATATATCTCTAAAGGATTATTTTGCTACAAAAACTTTAGATTTTGTCGATGCATACGATGAAATAAACATTTTGAAAACATCCGAATTTGAATGTTTTTTGAACAATTTTTTTGTTATTGAAAAGAAAACACATACATAAACAAATAAAGATGACATATTAAGCCAAGAAAATAAAAAAATTGAAATCATATGGTATCATAGCCCTACCTTGATATCATTGTACCATGGTTTATAATACACAAAATTCTTCGTTTTATTTTGGTTTATTAAAAAAGAGTTACATGTAAACAAAAGAACTTCAATAACAGGAATGAAAGACACGTAAAGAATTTGCAGTAAAGAACTTGCGTTGAGTACAGGGTTGGCCATATTCGACGGACCCATCTGGCAACGCCATAACTTTTGACAGAGATGTCACATCGTTTAATGACATATCGCGTTTGAAGCGACAGTCCAAGCAGATTTTTACCATGAAGCAATACACGTCACGCGAGCGCTCTGAATTAGTTGAAATGTACAAGAAGTCAATTGTGAAAAATCAATGTGCTTTTAAAGCATTAAAAAATGTGAGAAGTGCGCCTTCTAAGAACACCATTAAGCGTTTATATGAAAAATTTTCGACTGGTAAAGGTTCGTCGAATATGGGCAACCCTGTAGATGTGATACTATCGAAATATTCGAATGTATAAACATTGCCACATTTTAAAATCTAAAACCCGCTAAAAGCACCAACAGAAAAGATGAAAAGCGTACGTACAGTGCTTTTTTTTCGTTTCGCGCTATGCCTACTGTTTTGGCGTTTTGGGGGGTCTAAAAAGCACCATAAATAGCGCGAAAAGCACTAAGTTGGCATCGCTGATTCTAAATGGTACCAAATTTTGTAACGTACCAATCGAGAAGTCAAACTTCTCCTATTCCAAGGTTAAAGTTTTACAAAGAATTCTAGAAGAATAGGGCTTTAGGAGCCATTAATAGGGCTAGCAAAACAGTCGAAGGGGGGGTTCGTGTCCTCTTCCTCTAAAATCTAAAAAAAGGGTAGTACACAATAAAATATTATAGACTCCTAATTTTTTTAAACTCTACATTTTAATTAATGGACTAACAAATCAACAATTGCCCCCTTTACATGAAAAAATGAAAATATATATATATATCCTTTGAAAACCTGGCCTCTTAAATTGGTCCTCGAGATGTAATGAGGCCCTTGCCTCTCAACCCTTCTTACCATTGGTTCTACCGGCAATCAAATTGAAAGAACCCCTAAATCAAAGTTGAAACAAAGAGACTAATTTATCATCTGACCATTACCTTTCACTGAAACACCCATAAATGAATTTACTCGGAAGGCATTTTTTTATAACTTCATATAAATATACATGGGTTTATTAAAAAGAAAATTGTTTTTAGACACAAAAAATTTTACTTAGCGTTCAGAAATCCATAGTACAATTGGTTGTTAAAACTGATAACATCACTATTTCCATTTATATTTGCAATTTTAAGTAAAATCAATTTTAATAAAGCCAAAAGCTCAAAAAAAAAAAAATAAAAACTTTCAAACACATTTCTCTTTAAAGGCTATCTATTATTAAGATTTTTCTCGCACTTTTGACTTATTTTTTTTCTACTTCAATCTTAGTGTTTATGATATTAAAATATGTATATAGATTTAGTTTTACTTATAATTTATCAAAAATTTTATAATCTAGCAAAATTCGCAGTTCTAAATCCACTAAATATTTCAATTACTTCAACTCTGGATTGTTACTAGATTATTATTATTTTTGTATAAAAATCACTAAGGCAAAAAAAAAAAAAAAATAATACCAATCAAACACTCACCAAATTCGGATTTTTCATATCCACTGCTGCTGAAGAGGGCCTTTTTCTGCTGCACGTTAGTGGGTAATAAGATTGTATTTTGCCTTACTGATGATGTGGCAATGGAGGAATATTATTACTTATAAACTATGCATTAATAGGAAGAGATTATTTAAATTTAAAGAGATTATTAAATTTTAATATTGATGATATGATGTGTTACACGGAATTTTCTGTCCACTCTGTTCGAATGAAATCAACTAATGAGTTGAAGGCAATAAAAATATTGTACTATTATGTGGAACTGATGCTGCGCTTTGGTATGCTGGAATATGCACAAGCAGGTGGAGGACAATTCTTCCATTGACATTGATGACGTATGCATATGTAAATTGTAAAGCCAGTTTTGGTTTTTGCTATGCGATCGCTTTACTGATTTTGGGAATTCGTAACATACATATGGCTTTTGTTGTTGTCGTCTGTTTCAGTACCCCGAATTCAGACTGTCTGGCGTCGGTAGACTTATTACAGTTGTTGTTTTTAATCGATCGTCATTGTTGTTGTCTTTAGGGTACCCAAGAACAATAATTGTAATGATTGACCACTGTGTGTCGTTGTTGCTAAGGGGAATTTAAGTAATTCTTGTGGTAATGTTCAATTCGACATTCTGACACAAAGGGGTATCACTTTGGAACTGAAAGTTCGGAGGATGATGAGCTTGTTAGTTTAGAACCAAAATCTTCTTAGATTTAAGAACGCCTTGGTTGGTAGGTTTCCATATGAAGGTGTTGGATTTAGGAATATTTACAGTTCCATTCGTACGATAGGTTTAAATTTGGCGAATATTATCGAATCCTGTCATGAGGGCGTAATCGCCTCTGCAGCCTCATGTGTTTCACGAAACAGGATCTATGGTAAGTAATATCCTGTGAGGGATCGGACATTCACTAAGGCATTTTCTCACTTCATAAAAGAAAAAATACTTACTATATCCCAAAAATATTTTTATGCGCGATTCGACAATGGAAATTTATAATATAGATTCAGAAAGAATTTCTTAAAATTTTTAAGTAGTTTTAAAACTAGAAAGATTTTGAGTTGGACTTCTTCTCAGCCGAATTACCTTTGTTTTATTAAACGATGTAACCTCAAGAAAGGCTGAATTAGAAAAGGAAGTTTTGATGATTTTTTCTATGAGCGCAATTTTAAGGTGAAGTTAGTTGTACTAAATCAGCATAATCATATGATTTGGCTAGGTGACCTCACGGTGAACTAGTTACAAGTAAAAGTTGTAGTTGGCAAACCAAAAAAATACGTTAAATTTAAATGCACGTTATTTAAGAAAATCTAAGCAGTTAATATGACAAAATATTTTGGAATATTATTTTTAACAGCTGAAGGAAAAAATTGGATTTTGTGCCATTTCTAAAAAAAATAGGGGTGTTCGAAAACGACCATTACAATTTAGTGCACTTTAGTACTTCTGGTACGCATATTTCTTGCTCTATTTCTTTCCCAGGTACCAATGTTAATACTATTTGGTAATTTCCGTACTTTGTTTTAGGTATTTCCGTACTTTTTAGTAGGTATTTCCAAGTTCCCCGCCATATAACAACCAATTCGCACAAAAGATGATCCTAATTCCAAATTTTAGACTTCCAACTTAATTCCTTACCCAAATACCAAATTTAGTACTTTTTCTGTACGTACGTACGTAATTCCAAAACCACTTCATAGCTCAAATCTACACACGAACATCGACCACAATTAAAATTTTACTGCCATTTAATATCTTTCACACATCTACAGCACATATTTCCAATACCACCTGCATATCTCAACACAACACACCAATTCCCAAACAGCAAAACTCAGAAATCTAACTATCCCTACGATCAATACTAAATTGTGTACCCTTTTTACCTTTGTACTCTTGTAGTACTCATTTGCAAATTTTAGGCTTCCAACTCTACCGGTTTACCCAAAATTTAATCAAGTTTTTAGCTCTAACCGTTCACATAATACGAAATCGTACCAAATTTCTGTATTGTAATGCGAATTTCCAAAATCCCTTTGGTACATCAATCACTCACACCATCAGTGAAGCTCATTCCAAATTTAAGAGTTCTTGCTCTACAGCTTCCTCAAATACAAAGGGTACCATATTTAGTACCTTTTTATACTTGCCGTACCGTTCTAGTAGGTATTTCCAAAAACCCAGCCATATCTGACATCTTCCGACCAAGAGTGACCCTCACTCAAAATTTCAAGATGTTAGCTTCAGCTGTTTTGTCTGGGCGTTGATGAATCCGTCAGTCAGTCAATTACTTTACTCTTTTATTCAAATAGATTCTTTTGTAGATTTTTAATGTTCCTCATACCGAACTGCAGAATTTAATCGTAACATATTGAGTACACTTCACTGCTATTCGTTTCTCCAAACCCCCAGTTTTGATGATTCTCAAAAATTCATTTGTTTGAATTGAAGTGTTTTTTAATAATCAACGAATACACTTGTGATTTTTTAATTCTACGATAAAGGTGCTATATCTAAAGCGTAACATTTATTTTTTTCACCGCTGTCAGTTGTACATTTAGCACAGACGCAAACCTTTGGAAATCAGAACGGGTCGAGCTGCTTTACTTGTCCATGTTGAGCAACAAGGCAAAGAAACTATACGCGTTGTTCATCGTCTGAAAACGAAATTGTATAGACTAGATGTTGTTGCTAGGGTTTCTGTTTTGACCTACCTTCGTGAATACGGGCAATCCAACTTCGAAGAATTTTCCCGCCCTGAAAACGACTGGTCGACTCAAATATTGCATGTAGAGCAGTATTAGGCGTCTATCGCTCGTTGACATTTCCATCCAGTTGCAATTGTAGGCACAGTCCATGAGGCGCAAGGTTTCCACGGTCAGTTTGTTGGCATAGTAGCAGGGTAGAAAGATCTGCATTGTCATGCATAAGGCGTACTGGACAAGAGATATGAAGTTCCCGGGGTCGTCCAGGAAGCTGACATTCTGCAGCCGATAAAGACTGAAGCACAGAATTAATACACTGAGCAGAATTTGGGCCAGTATCGGGTAGGAGACTATGCGTTCACATTGCTTCGACATGCTGTAAAGCGGAAGAGGAGAGGGAGGTATGTTAAATTTCAGGAAGGATATGTAACGAACGAGCCGGTTGGGTTACCTTTTCACTTTCTGCTCGAACTGTACAATTCGAACTATGACCTGCGTAACGTTGGTGGATGGTTTATTATTTAGTTGATGCAAGCGCATGCCAATAAGCCGATAGCAAATGGCCAAGTGCAGCATGATGTAGCACTGCCACATGTCCAGAGTACAGTTCGAAATGCACGTCAGTGGCATGGCCAAGACCTCATAGAAATAGGCAAACCAGTAGTAAATCGGTTGGTTCCAGTTGAACGGTGTCCAATAGGGAAAAGGCAGCTTGTAGCCGTTAAGAAACAATACAACAACAAATTCACAGCCCACGAAACTAAAGCTGCATCCAATGTAGAGAAAGGACACTATTCTGAATGAGCTGACTGAGTGTTTCCACATCCATATCTCCTGGGGGCTTTGCAGTTGGAATTGCTCACCACTCTGCCACTCGTCAAACATACGTCTGGCCATTTTTCTGTGGTACAACAGACTTAAAATCTTCACCACCAGCGCAGTCTCGGTCAGAGCTATGTAGAGGACATCAGTAGCCTGTGTTAGGTCAACACTGCCGTACACATCCATCCACATAAGAATCGTGTAGGAGAATGTCAAGGGCACATGGACGAGTAGAGAGACGACAATGGCTGGCAAGCCGCGTTCTTCACCCTCTGTCCACAAGGCCACAGAGGAGAGAATTCTTCGCAGAGCTCTTGAGTTTTGCAAAGTATCGAACGACATAGTGGAGAAGTCACTGCAATTGATTGGAAATTCTACGGCTTATATACTCTCCCGTGCCATTCGCATATGTGGTCGGTATGTTCAGTTTAGCACATATCTTTGAAAAAATTATGCGCCTAAAAGCGTGCAATAATAACTAAATAAACTAGATTTGTTCGGACCAAAACAAGTGTTGATCCATGCAATGGCTCGAATGAAACCGTATATGCATGCCGTAACTACATCAACAATGTAGCGAAAGTTCTTGTTTGAAATAATTCAATATTTTTTGTCAATAAATTAGAAATTTAATTGTTAGTCGTTTTATTTTCCAGACGGAACAGTAAAGCTGAAGAATGGAATGTGTATATACAATTTTTACAGACCAGTAGCATAAAAACAATCTTTAGAATTCTGATGGCTTTTCTGAGCTTGGCTTCAATTTTCGTCCAGATTAATAAGTTAATTTCTTTAACTATTTATTTATTGCTTACTGGAAATATGACAATAAAAATAAGGAGGGAGGGCGAGTAACATGGAAGTATTGGTTAGTCTTGAAAATGTCCAAATTCATCAGAATACATAACCGTTATTCTGGTGCTGCACACGTATAAGAAGGGAGCATACGAAGTGAAAATGACATAGAACTGGTCGCCAGAACTTAAAAGACTATTGTTTAATTATACTTTATGAGTCCTACATCGACGTGTGGCAAACAAACGTTTTGGTGGAGAGTATAATACAGAGCAGGAGTGATCATAGAGCGGGAGTTTGCACCTCACTTCTTTGTTTAATACGAGAGCACTCCCGAGTCACTTCTGCTTGAAAAATTAGAGTGGGAGCAAGAGTTTGCTCTAGGAGTGAAAACGAGTGGAAAGTAGTGTGTAGCAGCAAACCCGTTTTGATGTTGCTGTGATCTATGGGGTGGGGATAATCGTGTACAAAATCAAAGAAAAAAGGCAACTGAATTAATGGGTCGATGGAGTTGGTGAACAAAAACAACAAACACAAATGCATTGTTGCCACAGATTGGCGAGAATGAATGCCAACGCAACAACACTGTGACAAAAACTGAAAGAGTGCTCGGCATGTGTAGAAAGGGTTCGAGTTCCAGCAAAACACCACTCCTATCCGAGCGACATCGGAAAATAGAGAATGATAAACGGTTTTCTTATTTTTTTCTTAGGTGTAGATTGCCACCACTACAAATCAAGCGAGTTTCACTTTTTGCTCAAATTCAAGCGAATTTTTCGGTGGTCTGGTATAATACCACCATATTCCACGTTAGTCGAAGCTATTTCTGTGTTCATTCCTCTCTCGAGACGCGCTTAATGATCTAAATTTTGCAGTGAAATGGAAAGCCACTATCAGACACTCACCACTATGCGTCGCGTTTCGCCGTTGGTTAAGCGGTTCATCAGGCATATTTGATGTGGATGATGGCTTACAAGGGTCGATCTCTGGAAAGTGATATTTATTTTGAACTTATTGCAAATAAGAATATGCGAATTAAACACCAGAAACCCTCCTCTTTTTCACAGCGAAGTTTGTTTATGTAGTGATGTATTGTATTTGTCCACAACAACTCATTGCTTTCAATGCATACACCTGTTATAGCATGGTTAATGGCTCTGAACGTTGAGACGTCAACTTCTAGTTAGCTACACACCGAGGTCCGCGGATCAAATCCCACAGCCAGGCTCGGCTGAATTTCTATTTCTATTTTTAACTTTGAATTTCGATGTTTTGGAATACTGTTCAGCTTTGGTTTTTTTTTTTTGGAAAAATCGCCGGTCTAATCTTCAAAAACGCTCCGAAAATCTTATTTGAAAATTTGTGTTTTGTATCCGAAGTCCAATTTTGAAGGGTATAAACTTTTCGGTTTGGACAAACATTTCCCAGTTTTCTCCTTTAGCAATTAAAACATTATCTACAATAAGATTATTTTTACATGCGGCACAGTGGGGACAAATCAAAATCAATTTGATATTTGTTTTTAGTTTTTGACCATCTGATTTCTCAATGAATTTGGTTTTCACACTTTCACACTTCATGTATAGAATACATTGACACACAACACGATGTCAGATCCAGTACGGTTTGAAGTATTTATGTGCTTCATAGGCCTAATATAATGTTTCCTTGACTCTTTCCAAATTCCAAGTCAAAAAATCTATAACTTCTTGAGTTCTACAGATACGTACGCAAATATTTAATAGCAGGGTAAAGTAAATTTCGTAAAAGTATATATTGCGAATTCAATAAAGGCTTTTTTTTGTCACTCTTTGGGTAAATGAGCAGTTGCACAAGTCCCCCATTGATTACTGTAAGATTTGCTAATTGTGCCGAGTGGTGTGGTGTTCCATTCAGTCCAGTCCAGTCCAGTCCACACTATCTGACTTTGGATCATTCCTTATTGGTTCTAACTAAAAATAGATCTTGTTCTTTTTATTGTTAGACTGTTGTAAACGAAGTCTGAATAATTTTTTTGGGTCACTAACGAGATTTTTTGCTTGTCTCCCTGAGGATGACTGTCGACGACATTCGACAGAAATATATCAATTCTGATAATTGATCAAATTTTCTACCTTTTTGTCCAATGTACCCAGAACAACAGCAGCAATAATTAAAAAGCCATCATGCTGGGATTTGAACACTGGCTGGCTGGCTGGCTGGCAGGTTTACATAATAATAAGTGGTCTCCTGCAAGTCCTTAAAACGCCCCTCCAATCTACCAATTACGTTACCCAACCATCATTTTAATTTGTGTATTTTAGTTTTTATTTTTTATTAATCAAAATAAATTTTATAACAAACTTTTTACAAGACAAGTGCACCGCGGATTGTCCGCGCCCACTCGCATAACGTGGCATATCGAAAACGTACAAAGGACAATTTAGGGATTCATATTTCGTACCTAATTTAAGCGACTTAACGTAATAAAATATTCAAACATTTAGTTCGGAAAGGCGGAGAATGTGTCCAGAACTTCGTCGTCTGTCTCTGGCGGTGGTGCGGATTTCTGAGTTGAATCGAGCACTGGCCACAGACATCACCATGGATCATTGGCACACTCGAGACGTGAGTGGTGGCTTAATAGAGGCAAGGGAGGGGATGGGCGTGACGGAGGTGGAGGCATAATTAATAATATAAAAATACATACATACATACATACAAAGTAAGAGTAAAAGTATTTAAGACAGGCATGAGCATTTAGTAGTGGTTTTGGGTGCTCAGGGTGAGCGTGAGATTATTTACAATAGGGTGCCTGGCTTTCGCAGGGGCCTTCTCTGGCCCAGGAGACCCAGACCGCGTGGCTGCTGTTTTGTTGTGGTTTCTGGTTCTGCGGGAGCCTCTTCTTTCTGCTCCTCATTGGCATCGGCAGCAGCATGTTCCTCATTGGAGTCGCCATCTTCCGACGATGCAGCATCATCTTCAGCTGTTGCTTCTACAAAAAGAGTGGACCGGGGTGGGGATATTGTGTCAATGTCAATAAATTTGAATGAAATGGTTCGGAATTTACCTGTCGTTGTTGTGCTTAGCACACGCTTCTTGGCAAGCAATGGATTGACTTTGCGTGGTGGAGCAGGAGCTGCCTTTGGCTTGAGAGCATCAGTCTTGGGGTGGGCACCACCTAGGCGTGGGCGAGATTTGAGGCGATTGAGACCACCCAAGTTGGCAGAGGGTTTCTCCTCAGCGGGCTTGTCAGCCGATTCCTCTCCCTCGCCCTTGACGTCGTTGTGATGACTGCTGTCGGCCGCCGAGTCGTCGGAAGCGGCTGGAGCTTCGGTTGTGGTGCGTGCAAGCTTACCACGACCTGGCAAGCGGCCGCCGGGCGAGCGGTTGATGTTGAAACGGGACGCCTTCGTGGGTGCAGCAGCGGGTGTGGCTGACTTGTCATCTACAGTGTTTTCACTGTCATTGGCAGCATCGGCCTCGGCGGGGGCTGGTTTGCTGGTGGTTGTGCGGCTGCGACCACGCAAGTTCAAGGTGGGACGGCCGCGAACAGCGCGAGCAGTGGTGCTGGAGACGGTCTCTTCCTGAGCATCGTCATCGTCTTTAGCTGAGGGGGCTGAGGTAGTGGTACTGCCACGGAGGTTGAAACGATTGCGAGCTGTAAATGATAACCAGAGCATGTGAATGAAGGCTCTAAATACCTAGTCTACTACTTACGCTTGTTACGTCCGAATCCAGAACTGACGGGCTTCACTTCTTTGACGGACACCTCTTCTTCGTTATGCTCCTCGGCAGCAGGAGCTGCTGTGGTTCTAACACCAGGACGAGTACGACCGCCAATTGAGGGACGCGAGAAACGATCTAGAAATGGAATGGAGGAGATGTTAGTGATCTGCAAACCCCATAGGGACGTCACTTACTTTTGCCAGTTTTTGGTGCTTCAGCTGCAGATGTTGCCTCGGTTGTAGTTGTTGTAGTGGATGCTCCGCCTGATTTCAACTTGAAACGGTTACGGCCTGGACCATTAAGTCCTGCCCGTTTGCCACCGAACAATGGTGCTGGTGTTGTTGTTGTTGTCGTTGTGGTGGTTGTTGTTGTAGTGGTGGGCTCAGGTGTTGTGGTCGTGGTAGTTGTCGTGGTTGTTGTGCTGGGCTCCTCTTCGGCCATGGTGGTCATCATCTCTTCGCCATACATATCTGTGGTGTCGGGCATTGTTGTGGTCACATCCATGTCCATGTCGGAGTCTGTGGTCATTTCCATGTTGTTGTTCTCATTGGCCAAAATGGCGTACAGATCGAATGCTGCCTTCTCCATGGCGGGGGTGGTTTGTTCGATGTCCTCGTCGTCGCCCATCATAGCCTCGTCATCTTCGGTTTTCGTCTTGGCAGACTCGGCTTCTTCAGCATCCTTTGTAGCTTGAGCTGCGGCCATTTCCTGTTCGATGGCAATGGCGGTCTTGGTGTCGTCCGCGTTGCGAGAGCCCTTGGCTTGTTTCTCGTCCGTGTTGAAGGTTTCACTGTCCACCAATTCTAGGCTGGGACGTTTGACGCTGATTTTCTTCTTCTCGGCAGCAGAGTCAACTGAGTCGATGGCGGGGGTTGGGGCCACATCAGCAGCCTTGCCGCGGCTGGGGAAGCGGGTGTTGTGTGGCAGACGTTCGGTCTCGATGCTCTCCTCGACATTGGATGAGCGACCCTTGGCCTTGCCGGACACCAGGCTGTTGTCACTGGGGGTGGCGGCGGTGCTACGTTCAATGTTGGTGTAGCGTGACTTGCCTCGTGATTCAGCCTCCTCCTCCCCCTTGTCCTTCTCCTTATCCTTGTCATCATCCTCTTCTTCGTAATAGTAGACGTATTCATATTCATAGTCCTGACCGTTGGGACCCTTTTTGATTTCGATCCGCGACTTTTTGTTATTTTCCGAACCGGCTGTGTCCAAAGCAATCGCTTGGTCGACGAAACCGACGTTGATCTCATCGTCTGTGTCGAGTGCAGCCTTCTTGCTGGGCGCCATTGTTGTCAGAACTGCCAGAGGCATTTCGGTACTTTGCTCAGCTTCAGCCTTCACTTTGGCCTCTTGGGCAGCTATTTCGGACTTGACAATCTCCAGTTCGGCTTCTTCGATAGCCCTCTTGGCCTCAATGCTCTTCATGACATCCTCATTGATGAGGGCACTCAGAATGGGATTCAGTTCGGGCTTCTCTTTGGTCGGCAAAAGATTCATATTTTCCACGTCATAATGGGAGATTCGATGGGCAGTTTGGAAGCCCTCATCGCCGAAATCGCCAGGACGTTTGTGTGATGTTTCAAACGCCGCTCCAGCTGCTCCATCGGACATTACCGATGACTCTACAGAGTTGTCGGCCAGGCATGCCGTTGCCAATAGGCATATGAAAAATCTGCAAATAAAAAATATTCAGAGTTTAGTAGAAACATTTAAAAATCATTGTGTCGGTCGATAAATCTTAATTCGGCCAATGGTCTCTCCAAGGTCGGCCAGTAGGTCCATCTGACACGAACTTAGTTCGCAGTCAAAAGACATAATTGTGATTTAATTTCAAAGGAATACTAGTCAAAATTTGTGTAAAAACATTAAGTTTCCTGTCAAGTTGTTGTCAATAGTAGTCTTCTTGGCCGATCCAAGGCCAGTAAGCCCATCTGATAACTAAGAGTGTTGTCAAAATGGAGAATATTGATTTGAAATTTAAAGACAATCAAAAAGACAATAGAGTTAAATTTACTAAGTCTACATCTCTAATTTTGTGTATAACCAGAGTGATGTAGGACATGCAATAGTCGCCCGTCTTTGGTCTTTGGTCTTTTCTTTACTGCTGCTGCTGCCATTATCATTGGAAGGTTCTTATTTCATAAGAGTTGTGATTATTCAATTTTTTTATCTTTGGGTGGAAAGGTTCCACAAAATGATGGCCTACATTGTCCAGTAGCCGCCATCAGATCTAAGTTTGGTATATACACGATATATAAATTTTGGACGAATTGGTGTTGGCCGTAGACAGACTCAAAATGTCTTGAAAAGGATTTTGTCAAAAAATCAAACGCTTAAAAGGATTGATATTGACCCTTTTTGGATGGTACCAAAGGTGTGGGCAAATATTTTCCATTTAGCATCTGACCAAAGTCTGATATAAATATTGCGACGGCCCAGATTCCTTCATTACTTGGAGATAGTTGTACATATATTTTTAACATTTTGCACTTGAGCAACTGAGCAACGAGAAAGAGTGGACTGATATATTCGATTTTTCCACTTTATCTAGTTCCAATATTATGCGATTATTTTGTGGAGGAGGCACCAGATGGAGTGGATCGACTTATTCCGTATTAACATCAGATCTAAGATTGAAAAAATATTGAAAAAATCACTGACTTCTTTCACATGTTATGAGAGTTATAATTATTCGAAATTTTGAATATTTGTGGGGGAGGTACCAGAAAGTAATGGCCTATCAATTCTATATTCACACAACATTTGATGTAGTTGGAAATGTTGCGTTGTGCGAAATTGGAATAAACATGGAATACTTATTTTGAATGTTATGGGACTTGTAAAGATTAAAAAAAAGGTTCATCCATTCTGAGAGAATACTCAATGGGGGAGGTAATAGATGGACCAATATTGTCCATTTTCACACTAGACCTCATACAATTATTAGAATTTGCTGAGTTTGAACAAAATTAGATAATCGGGTCTCATTCTATGAGGGCAAAATTTGGCCGTATTAAATGATATATACCACCTGAAGCCATATGGCTGAGAGTATAAAAACTGAATCATCGTTTTTTTTTGTTAGATTGTCGGTTGACCTTGAATATTTTGTTATCTTGAAGGATTATCGAAATGTTTTTTTTTTTTTTTTAATTCGAAAATGCTTCGTTCGCAGATGATCTTTCTCATAAGACATCACCCTAAACATTTATGTTGGTCGTCATTATTATTGATTTTCATGCGAATATAAAGCGGTGTTGGGAATACCGCATTAGACCTACCCGACTATGTGCCCTGCTCTGTGGCAATTGTTTCGATTGATTTGTCCTGCTAAGGCACGTACGGTTGGTTTATTCGTACAGCCCATATTTAATGTTGAGCTACATTAAAAACTCAAACCCACGATGCGTTCGTGTGCACTTCCTATATCGTAGCTTCCCACCATTCGTATATTTTGAAAATACAATCCGTTGCGATGCAGTTCAACAATCACTTGATGATCGAGGTTCGAACCGACCGACCTTGAAATGCCAACTGTTTTTATCCTGGTCATTTCATAGTTGAACTTCGTGAGTGCTATACCCATAAGTAGACACATACATACATATGTAGTGTATTTTGATATTTTTATGACCGAAAGGGGCTTCGATTTCACAATGACTTCAATGCATTTGAACGAGAGACATATGGGACTGTTGTGGTCGGAAGACACCGAATTGTTGTTCAGTTTACCTCCAGCTGCCTCTCTGACAGGATAAATTACACACTGCTGTCCTTGAAGTTGTTGTTGAGTTCATGTGTCGACCACATGTACTTTCCCTCCGACGGACTCACAGCAAATGATGCGGAAAACAACTCCTCTCATTTTGTTAAAAATCGATTCCTGCATGAAATCGATCGCCACAGAACCCCCGCCTGAATTACAGCCTTTGGAATCGCCAACATGTTGTGCTTAGCCACCAGCGGGACACTCGGGGGGCATTCCGAGTAGACTGATGTAAAACGAATGCTTCAATTTGCAGTTTTATTGTCTCACTTTTAACGTTTCCATTCTTCTGCTATTTCTTCGTCTGCTTCGTGGCTATCTAAATGGCAAAGGCTGCATTACTGCGGGAATTGTTGAGGTCTGCTGTTTTGCTTTGTTTTTCTATCTGTGACTGATAGCTCCATTCGATCGGCTGGTCATTAAATCTCAAGGCTATTGGTCGACTTGAATGCTATACATAATCACGGAGACCAGACCGGGTCTACGAACCAGTCGATCGATCTGGGAACGATGGGGAAAAGGGGCCAGCTTACTTAGGCCAAGGGTGGGGGACGTTCATGTACTGTGTGTACTTGGTCGAATGCTGTGTACGTGTGTGTGTGTGTTGAAAGGGACTGCGACATTAAGAGAGACACGATCGACTGGGATACCAATGCTCTCGTCTGAAATGCTGCTGAGTGGACCGGATCGGACAAGTTGTTTTAATGGCATTTGTCGTTATGTGGTTTACCTTCTGTTGTCGTCAGGGGTGTTTCTTAACTGTAGTGCGGTTGGCTGTGCCGCAAGCGTCGACAGTGCGATTTTAAGGTGACCGCATATTGATGAAACCGGTTCGTGTTCGTGCTGCTTAACTAGCTCTCTGGCTGGGTGGCTTAACTGTGCTAATGATGTGTGTGTGTGTGTATGTGTGTGGAAGGTGTTGTGAAGTAACTGAAACATACGCATGCGCACAGCTCCTTTTCCATTGCAAACCTGAACATATGCAAATACGTAGATCACACATGATCACCAGCGGATGGCGGCTGACATACATATTTGCTGTTAGGTAGCAGCTAGCTTACAGAGTGCAGTATTGAATTACTTCCACTTCATCATTATTAGTGATGTAAATAGTAGTTTTATTTGCTTCTTGTCGTCGTCGTCGTCGTCGTCTTTTTCTGTTTCTTCTTTTTCGCATCAGCTTCTTTTTGGCTTGATTAGGCCAACAACAAGTTGAGCGACGCTACCTGTCTTTGCCATGGTTTCCGTCGAAAATGTGTGCCATCTTTCATCACCCTCCTAAAGCAAATTGGTTAAGCTTCTCTTTGCTATTTTTTCTGTCTATTTGAATTTGGGGTTTTGAAAACCAGGTATGGACTAATTACGATTAGCAAGCGTTAAAGCCACTGAATAACTTTTAACATTTTATTGCCAGAAAAACAAACAAAGTCAGCGTTCGTGCAATTTAGACTTTGCATTTGTTTAATGCCGACAACTGGTGGCATTCAACCGGTTTCCATGGCGAATTCCCTTTGCGCGCTTATTCGCCCAGACAGAGGTATGTACGGCAGAGGAGCAACATTTCACAGTCACTTTGCGCTCCCCACTGCCACAATAAGAGTGTACAGTTGAGGTGGTGCTGGTGGTAGTGTAATCAGGGCCACAGCCCATTCACCTTTCTGTGACATTTACCTTTTTAAAGTTAAGCAACCTCTGTGCCAAATAGGTTTGGATGATAAACGCGAAAGGGGAAACATAACATATGTTTAATGGCATTGATCGCGCGTTTCTCCTTGTTACGTCGTGGAAGTGGATCCTGGCTGATATTAATTTCAAAGCTCACTTTCAAATTTTATGAAATAACAAAATAGTCATAAAAATCGTATTGTTGTTGTTAGATTCATGTCCTGTCATGGTGGAGTAATAGAGAAACAAAATATGTTTTTCTTTCGACTTTGAAATCAAAGCTAGAGAGACGATATTCGAACATCTTCTTCCAATTTGAAAGAAATACGAGTGGGAGGAATTCTGTCCTCCAACATAAGAGAAAGTATCTTTAAATGTCTTAATAATCTTTAATATAGGTCTCATGCAACGGCATCAGCGATTCTAAGCATTTGGAACTCCCAGAAATATTTTTTAAAAAAGATAATGTGATCAAGTTTGAACTTTTCATTCTCTCAGTTTTTAAAAAATGAATTGAGTCAATTTAGATTTATGGAAATATTTTTAAATATCCTAATAATTGATAGCAGCTTTATCAGCAATATTTTGAATATCCTAATCACATTTTTCAACTTGGTGAAATGAAAGTCTAATATTTTCCAATTTCCAGCAGATATCCACCTGCAAATAATGTGCAATAACAATTTTCGGAATTCGGCAATTTTATATGAATCTATTCACTTTTTTTTTTTAAGAAAAAAGTCCGAACTGATTTGTAATTTGATGTTTTTTTTTTCGATGCATCAGTAGTTGTTTGCAAAGACCAGTTACTCCCATAATATTTTTTATTGCGAATTTTGTTTAGTTTATTAGCAAAGCTGTTCTGACTATGATGGCCGAACAGCGGCAAAGCAAACATCGAATTATGCACTTAAATACTGAGTAAACATCCTTGGAAAATACTCCAAATTAAAATCTTGTGGTCTGTTCTTTTTTGTCTCATTTCGACAGAACGAGTTTTGAAATGACATTAGCAATTCCAGTGAATTAACAATTCAAAGAAGACAACCCAAATGTCGTCAATTATTAAAAAATGCTAAAACTTTGGCAAATTTAAGACAAGATTTCGATGCTGGTGTCTGTGGGATGTAAATTATATGGCAAGGTATTGAGACATTTTATTTCCTCTAATACTCCCCCGTGTTTGTGTGGAATTTCCCCAAATTGAAATGGTACAACATGGAAGTAGTATTGAACAACAA